ATCTGCAGCGATAACCACCACTAATCCCTCTCCAAAAGGCTTGATCTTGGGAGACAATTCACTCCCTGGGGAGCTCTGCCAGCTCCTGAGGTGGTAACGAGCAGCATCACCCTGAGATGTTCAGTGCAGATCAGAGCTCTGAGCAGCCACGAGCTTCACTCCTCCCAAAGCCACTTCACCCAAGTTCCTCAGAAACAAAACCAGGGTTGTTTTTTTTTAGAATCTCCTAAAAATTCTGAACTTTGCAACAAAAGGAATACATTGCTCTTACACTGCAGGAATAGAGGGATAAAACCCACACCACTTAGAGCTGCCAAGATCTGAGTCCCTTCTGCTGAAATGGCCAGACATGGGACCCCTGGGGACTTGCCAAGGAGTTGGTTTTCTTCAAGATGATATAAAAAATTAATCTCTACAGCGAAATTATTCCTAAACTGAGTAAAGCTCTAGTAAATATTAGTCTCTTCTTGAACTGGCAGTGTATTTCCTCAGGAGACAGGAGTTTTCTAGGGTAGAACAAACCTTTAGTAAAACACAATATAAAGGGATACCCAACCTTCATTTCCAAACAGTCTCCCTGGGAGCTGCTGGGGGGATAAAGCATTTTGTTCCATGTCAGCCTGGATGAAGGAAAACATTAACCCTGATCTAAACCTCAGCTAAGCAAACTTTAAGGTGGCTGGGGAAGAGGGAAGAGGCCCTGGAATTAAAAGGCATCTCTGATAAACTGGGCTCTTGAGCCTTAATGCTGAGGGTGGAAAAGAAGATCAGCCTTCCAGTGCTATAAAGGGGGTCACAGAAGGGCTGGAGAGGGATTTGGGACAAGAGATGGAGGGTCAGGACATGGGGGAATGGCTTCAAACTGACAGAGAGTGGGTTTGGATTGAATATCAGGAAGAAATTGTCCCCTGGGAGGGTGGGCAGGCCCTGGCACAGGTTACCCAGAGAAGCTGTGGCTGCCCCAGCCCTGGAAGTGTCCAAGGCCAGGTTGGAACAACCTGGGCTGGTGGAAAGTGTCCCTGCCCATGGCAGGGTGTTGGAATGAGATGATCCTTAAGGTCCCTCCCAACCCATACCATTCTGGGATTCTAATATGGGAAAGACTTGTGGAAAAGCAGATTTTTCACTGCATCTTTCTTCATGTCCTCCTGCTGCAGGAGTTATGGAGTACACCCAGCTCAGGTGGAAAGGCACATTCCTACAGTAAAAAGGAACATAAAGTTCTCCTCCTCCAGAAGACATAAATAATATTGAAATGGTCCTGAAAACATGGGAACCATAAAGAGAAAATTAAAGGAGATGTCTCTGAAAATTACAGCCCCTATTAAGTTGAGCACCAGGATCTTCCAGCCCTGAGAGTTCTCACAAGGATTTGGGCTTCTGGCCCCCCAGCCAGAGGTCTGAAGGCCAACAAGATGTTTCTGACTCGGGGAAAAGCCAAAGCAATGGGGTAAATGGCCCAGTCTGTGCCTGTGTTCCAGCACTCACAGTGCTCCTGGTG